TAAAAATAACATAAATATAACACAAATTTTTAGTTGGCTGTCGAAGCAAAACACCCGCTCAGCATTGGCATGTTACAACACACCATTTTTTTTGTTCTTCCCAAAAAAGTCATCTTATAGAGTGAAAAACATGGCAAACAATTCTATCTCCAATTGTTATTTAACAACCTGCAAGAGGCCTCGTCACAGTTATTGGAAACAACTATTCATTTAAAGATTTGAGTAATTTAAGAATATACATTTATGTATATTTTGAATGACTGCAATAAAAGGCCAAGGTAGTTTTTTGCGTGCCAAAATGTCAAGTTATGCCTTTGAATATAGAATTTAGATATTGATTTTCACTTTGATGATGCAGGTTATATATATTAGAGTTTTTTCACTTTGGTTTCCTTAACTTTTAAAAACTACCCCAAATTTGTTCTCCATTACATTTTTCGTCAACTGGCCGTTAATGTTGGGGGTAATTCCGTCCATTCAACCTAATATTAATGTTATTGTGATTTTTTCCCAATTTCTTCGTTGCCAACGGTCAGTTTCGCTGGAAAAACCAAAGATCGCCGGCATGCACCACAGCCTCACCAACCACATCCACCGCTACCATGACCTCCACTTCTGTCACTGCCATCTTCAAAAAAGACATCAGGACAGACAAAATTGATGAAATTATAAAGAAGCTTAGTAAGAATGGCGAGCAACCAACGCAAACAACAATGCTACCCTCCGTCTTGGCTTTCATCCCCCCTCCCTGGCTCGCTTTTCACAGGTCAAGAAAACCAGACACCTCCAGCTCATTAGCCACTGCTATGTGCCGGAGGAGGACCAGCCGAAGGTCGCCGGTGTTAACCAGTGTCATCCCGGCTCGCTGCCTCGTCGGAAAGAAGCCAGAGGTCAACGCCACTATTGTTCGAGTTGGTTTCTCCGTCTGATTGGTTGGACTCTGCAGCAACGGTGGTTTCTGGCCGGAATCCTGTTGGACCCGTTGGTAGAAACCAAATAATAATCAAATAAAAATAAGATTATTATTTTCTGGAAAAAAAAGGAGGGAAAGATTGAGAATTTAGCTAGTGTTTGGTGTTGGGTTTTTGCAAGAGTCAAGCGATCACTCTTTCCTTAAAACTTTATTTGCCACCTCCCAAAAGTGCTAGAAGCGGTGTGGCCTAGGCCTCCTAGGATAAAACTTGCTTATGATTCAAAGTTTGAGCACACAAACTAGGAATCCGGCGAACAAAGCAAGGTTATGAACACAATATAACTAAGAAAAGGAGTAGAAGCAGAATTTTGAGGCTTGAAAATGATACTTTCGTGTAGTGTGCTTGTTGTTCTCTATGTAAAAATCTGCTTCTCACTACCCTCTCTTATATAGGGATGAAGGAGTTAAATAGCTTTTAATTTGGCATTTAAAGGCACCCCTACAACTCCTGTAACAGCAACCACTAACTTGAGTTTTAATTCAAAATTAAAATTGGGATTAATTCCAAAGAATTAACTCCGTAACAGCTGAATTAAAACCCCAACGGTCACAGAAGGAGCTCCAGTTTTGCCACGAAAAGACCGAACTTTCGGCCTTGTGGCCGAAACTTCTCAGTGTTGGAAAAATGGTTGCAGGTGCCGGCACACACGAGCTCGGGCTTGAATCAAGCCTTTTCGCTCTAGTTTCTAGTTGGAATTTGATTTGCACACCCCCCCCCCCCCCGCGCACGCGCGCACACTAGCCTCTGTGCTATACAATTCTACAAGCTCCAAAAGAGCTCTTGTATAAATGGGGGGGGGGGGGGGGGCGGGGAAATCCACTTTCCAAACCAATGTGGGACAAAAGCTCACTTTTTTCCTTCATTTTTCCAACTGAATGGGTCTACTTTGAGAATCAATATCTCATTCACCCATTATCCGTTTTGAGCGTACAATATATCAATCTCTTTGTCTCACTACGAAGAATCCGAATCCACTTTGACCCGACCCAAATCGGAAGTGGACCCTACTGATAATTGTACCACAAAATAACCACTTAACATGCCATTTTAAGCTATTTTTTCCAACAATCCCCCACATGAATGAAAAATCGATTTTCAGGGTATTTTGAAATCGGAAACAACTGTGTTCAAATGGTCGATCCCTGCATAGGATAGGTAGGGAGTCACTATACCCTTTGAACCTTAACTTGTGAAGACATGTTTACTCTACTGCCTGTACGGTAGAACGCGATGTCTTTGAACCGACTGCCGTTTGTGTAGACGATGACATATCTCACACAGGAACCTCCCAACCATGCTCTTGTTCTCACGAGTGTGCCCGTTTTGGTCGTGGGTCACCGTTCCTGGTTCTGCGAGAGTTTCTAAAGAATTGTGCCTAACAATTCTCCTTTGAAGCGACCCTCACTTCTCTCTTATATAGGTGATTCTTTCTCGAGTATCCCGTATACTCAAGAATCATTAAAGCATCAACATGCTAGCCTCGTGCAGGAGTCACTGTTTTAACGAGGAGTGGTAGGGAGTCCGAGATCCCCATAGTGCCGCGCTCCGTTCCATAATTTAGTTGTCCCATTGAACCTAGGTGCCAGCTAGGTTGGGTATCCACTATAGAACTTTTTAGTCCAAGGGCATTAGACCCATTCCTCGTGTCAACTTCTCCACAACTTCTTTGCCTAACCCTTTGATCAGCAGATCTGCTATATTGTCTTTTGACTTTACGTAGTCAATCGAGGCAACACCAGTTGTGAGCAGTTATCTAATGGTATTATGTCTCCGACGCATATGTCTAGACTTACCATTATACATATGACTCTGTACTCTCCCAATTGTGGCTTGACTATCGCAATGCACACATATTGGAGGTACTGGTCTTTCCCAAATAGGAATATCCTCTAGAAAATGGCGTAGCCATTTAGCCTCTTCACAACCTTTGTCTAAGACTATCAGCTCAGATTCCATCGTGGGTCTAGCTATTACAGTTTTCTTAGAAGATTTCCATGCAACGGCTGCATCGGCTAGTGTAAACACGTAGCCACCCATGGACTTAGAGTCCTTAATATCAGATATCCAGTTTGCGTCGCTATACCCTTCAAGTACAGCGGGATATCTCCCGTAGTGCAGTCCAAGGTCACGAGTATACCTCAAGTATCTCATAACCTTTATTATTTCCTTCTAGTGCATAGCACCGGGGTTACTTGTATATCTACTGAGTTTACTAACTGCAAAGGCAATATCCGGCCTAGTACAGCTCATAAGATACATCAAATTACCAATAACCCGAGCATATTCCACTTGTGAAATACCTTCTCTGTGGTTCTTGGTTAGATGAATGTTTGTATCAAACGCTGTTCTAGCCATTTGACCATCATCATTGTTAAATTTCTCAAGGATTTTGTCAATATAATGTGATTGGCTCAACACGAGACCATCAGGTCTTCTAATGATTCTAATCCCGAGGATTAAATTAGCCAAACCCATATCCTTCATGTCAAATCTCGCATTTAACATGTTTTTGGTAGACTTGATCATCCGATCATTACTACCAACGATGGGAATATTATCGACATATAAACAAAGAATGACGTAGCCGTCTATCGTTTCCTTAACGTAGACACATTTGTCACTTTCGTTTATCTTAAACCCGTTAGTTAACATCGCATGGTCAAACTTCTCGTGCCACTGCTTAAGCGCTTGTTTTAAACCATAGAGCGATTTAACCAACTTACACACTTTCCTTTCTTGGCCCGGAACCACGAACCCTTTGGGTTGTTCCATATAGATTTCCTCATCTAATTCGCCGTTTAGGAAAGCAGTTTTAACTTCCATTTGATGAACTTCCAAGTTTCGCAGCGCGGCTATGGCAAGAATCATCCTAATGGAGTTTATTCTCGTCACGGGAGAATACGTGTCGAAGTAATCGAGGCCCTTGCATTACCTATAACCCTTGATTACAAGCCTAGCCTTATACTTCTCGATGGAACCGTCAGGTTTCATCTTCCTTTTAAAGACCCACTTGGATCCTAAGGGTTTACTACCCGGTGGAAGATTAACAAGTTCCCAAGTGTGGTTCTGTAGAATAGAATCCACTTCACTTTTTATAGCCTCTTTCCACAATTGTCCTTCTGTAGAAGTCACGGCTTCTACATATGTTCAAGGCTCATTCTCTATCAAACAAGATAGAAAATCGGGTTCGTTTTCTAATAAACAAGTTAGATTACCTGAATCATACTCTAACAAGTAAGTTAGAAAATCAAGACCGAATAATTTTCCAACTCTCGCCTGCTTAATGCGTCTCGGCTCGAGCTCGGGTTCTTTCTCAGATTCCCCACTATCATTATCCATAGTTTCGTCAAACGTTCGTTTTGACGTACTTGCACTAGTACAAAAAAAGCTTTTAGAGTCACCCATAAAACACTTTCCGAGTCACCTGTACAGGTGACTCAGATCTTGGAGACTGTGATTCTCCTCCGCTTTCCGAGTCACCCGTAAAGGGTGACTCGAAAAGCGAAAAATGATTTTTTTTAATTTTTTAATATGGACTTTCCGAGGCACCTGCTCCGCTGCAAGAGCCTCGGATAGTCCTTTTTTATTATTTTATTAATTTATTTCCAAGACACCCACTTACAAGTGGGTGCCTCGGAAAGTTACCATTTAAAATATATATATATATATATATATATATATATATATATATATATATAAGCCATACACCTTGGGATACACAATAGAGCCAAAAATTCTCGCTCAATTAAAGCGACAAAATTTTGGTAGCATTAAACAACAGTAAGAAATTTCTGAGTTAAGAAAATAATTAAGAATGATAGATTTTTGGATTCCCGATCTACAACCTTTGGTTATCCGATTTCATATAATTTATAGCACACATCAACCTACTCCTAATGGATACTTCAGAGCATAGACAGATGCTCCAGCCTTCAACTTGGCTTGAGCTGATTTTGTTGATCGCTCCTTTGTTTTTTCATCTGACAGCAATAACAGCAGCAGAAAAATAAGTTACCAATACGCTCTTTACTGATGAAAGAATCGTAGAAAATCCCCATCTGCGGCAGTATAAAATCTATGGAGTTCTTCTTCATTAATTCTGCACAAACGTTATTATGTCAAGTTCCACTGCAAGAGGAGAAGCCAATAATTCTGCAATATGCCATGATTAAAATGTGTGGAAAAGTTATTAATATTGTTCCGTGCTGAAAGGATTTCAATGGGAGAACCTGTTCACACAATCAATACCAAGAAAGTGTAAACTAAATTAAGAATTTCCAAAAGCATTTGGTTTGATCTAAAATAACCTATCTGTCAAAGTAATTCCCCGATTTTCCAGCTCTTTATAAAGCCGAGGTAGCCAATTCCCAGGAAGCACACTTTGCTGAGGATCATCCTCAACCCTACACCAAGAAAGGTAAAGTTGAATTCAGATGTTAATCTACCAAAGGAGGAGGAAAAAAATATTTTAGATGTGGTACATCAATCTCAATGTAAACATTATACAGTAATCAAGGATAGAACTATACAAGTAGGATATGTGTGTGTGCGTGTGTTATTTAAAAACATCTAAGGGGGTTGGGGATCAGTCCTGTGACCTATCCTAAAGTCATAGGTCTATGCCACTCAACCACAGTTGGGATTTCTGGACAAAGAGAGAGAACTTGAATATGTTTGTCGATCACTAAGTATCAATGGTTGCAGCAATGGCATACCAGTACTAAATCTGTTGGGTACCTCAAAGTGGTGGTAGACTGTGTAGAGGATAACTCATGCACAAATTCTGAAACATCATGAGGATCAATATGCCCTTGATTAACTTCACTACTTTCTGTGGTGGAATCGCTGCACTCTGGATTATCAGACAATGCTGTGGCAATAGATAGCACCAGCAGTGGCCGGGATAACATCTACCCCAAAAATGAATGGTATAACCATCAGATGTCCAGAGGAAGATAACAACAGAGCTAACATTTGCTAGAGCATGTAGAATTGAAAAAAATAATCAAACACTATTATAACCAATGGTGTAATGAAATCTAGCAGTAGCACTTCATGATATTGAAAGGAACAACACTAAAATTTCTATTAAAGAATTCATTTAGAAAGTATACACTATTCTGAACATGGGTAAAAAGACTATATCAAATCTTTGAGCTTGCACCAACCTGCTCATAGGCCTAGAATATGTGCGTATTTTATATATTATTCCATTGTGATTTTAGGTAAATTATTATTAAATTGGATTAATTTTGAGTTAAATCTTATTAATTGTGCACTCTTTGACAGGTATTGACTTAATTGAGGGGAATCATGAGTTTTGGGGTCAAATTGCAAGAAAGCTTATTTGATGATATAAAGATGTGTTCAATTGAAAGAAGATTACAAAGTTTAGGGGTGAATATGTGAATCTTAAAAGGCTTTTGGTTAATTCTGGAGGGTTAAAAACTTACAAAAGAAAAGGGAAATTATTTGGTTTTATTGGCGCAGCAGAGAAAGGGAAAGAAAGGGGATTATATATATTAAGTTAGGGGTTGCTTTTGGGGAAAAAGGGAGAGACGGGAGCAGAAAGAAAAAAGAGGGCGAAGGGAAAAAACGAAAGCCTGGGGAGAAGCAGTAGGGGTCTTCGGCGAGGAAAGGAGGCAGAAGACATTCGAGACTTCATCGCAGAGGAATTTCTGCGCTTCAATCACAGCTATCATCTCTTAGGCTTGAATTATTTTTCTTCTCTATTTTATTTCTTGTTTAAATTTCCAGAATAATATTCTTTGAATTGTTTATGCATTTAATTATGATTATGGGCTAGAACTTTAATTAGGGATTTGGATTAGCCTATATTAGATTAATTGACTATTTTTCATGTGTTGATTCTTCTAATTTCAGTTTAATAATTGAATTTGATTATATTTATTTTATGTATTTTAATTGTGGATTGTGTGACTGGCCATTACATAATTCTAATATTAGGGTACATAAGAAGAACTGACAGGTGAATTATGAACCTAGAACTCGTAAGATAAACACAATTGACTTAAACTAGACATAGCTTTAGGTATTTGTGGTGAAATTTGATTGTTGCTTAATGGGTTTAATTAATGTTGGTGAGATATCGACGGATGATCACAGTTAATTGGATACAACCTAGTAGCTCGACGGAGTATTAGGATATATTTCCTCCAGGCGCAACAGTTTATACACGCCGATGACTATCCGACCTACCCACCGGCGACGCAAGGCGGTGTTCCAGCGGCGTTGTACGCAGGTCGGGGCAGACGACAGAATGGAGACGGTGGTGGCAGGCATTCCCACGGTGGTGGTGGACGTGGGGGCAACCAACGCGGCGGTCGTGGCCGGAACGACGGGTTGCGCTGCCAGATTTGCCGCTCTCAAGGCCATTCGGCCGCTTTTTGTTACCGCCGGTACACGGAGCCGCCGCCGTCGCAGGCTCACGTTGCCGTTGCAGGAGATGGAGTAGCACCACCATCGGCGGTCACCACGTGGCTTCCGGACACCGGAGCATCAACCCACGCCACCCCCGATTCCGGCGTGATCATCAATCCCGAGGAATATCACGGCGATGATGTCTTACGAGTAGGCAACGGCACAGGTTTGGTGATCTCGAGTGTGGGTCATGCAGTAATTCCTACGGTCAAAAAGTCGTTAAAAATGTCGAATTTATTACATGTTCCTGAGTTGTCAGTGTCTTTGATGTCTGTTAACCGTTTTACCCGGGACAACAATTGCTATTTTGAATTTCACCCCTCTTATTTTGTTGTGAAGGACTCAATCACTCAGGCGGTGCTTCTTAAAGGTCCGAGTTCGGGAGGACTGTATTCATTGTCACTACCAAATAATCACTTTGCGTTCGTCTCTGCTCGTGTCTCTTCCACGGTCTGGCACCAGCGTCTCGGTCACCCACACAGCCAAGCCTTGCGTCGTATCTTACAAGATTGTCCAGTCGAGTAAAATAAAAATGTAACACCAAAATTATGTACCCCGTGCCAACTTGGAAAATCGGCACGTTTTCCTTTAGATAGGGTAGTTACATCTAGTGCTAATGTACTCGATCTTGTTTTTACCGATATATGGGGTCCTGCACCTGTCATTTCAGCGGATGGGTCCCGCTACTTTGTACTATTCGTAGACGACTGTACTCGCTATTGTTGGTACTATCCTCTACGTCTAAAAACGGATATATATAAAATCTTTGATCTTTGGTGGGCGATGGTAGAACGTACGTTTTCACGTTCTATCAAGTCCGTTCAGTCTGATTTGGGGGGGGGGGGGAGTACCAAAAGCTACATAAAACATTCACAACTTTTGGAATAGTACACCGGCAGTCGTGTGCCTACACACACGAGCAAAATGGCCGTGTGGAACGTCGAAATCGCCATATAGTCGAAACTGGCTTGGCGTTAATGGCCCAAGCGTCTGTTCCACAGCGCTATTGGGATCATGCCTTTGAATCGGCAACTTTTCTTATAAATCGGTTACCGTCAGCCTCACTCAAGTTTGATACACCCTTTTTTCGCCTATATAAGACTCCGCCCACGTACACTTATTTACGTGTGTTTGGATGTCTTTGTTTTCCATACTTGCGTCCATATAACCGTCATAAAATTGAGTATCGGTCGAGTCCGTGTGTATTCTTTGGTTACCCGTCATCCTTTAGGGGTTACCGCTGCATGTGCCTCAACACCGGGAAAACCTATATCTGTCGTCATGTCCGCATTGACAAGACTAATTTTCCCTTTGAAACAGGTCATTTAAAATGGAGTAACACAACACCTGAGGTGCATGAGTCTCCGTGGGGGTCAAGTCCTGTCTTACTGACCCACAACAGTTGTGCCGTCCCTACCCCATCGCCTCCCGTTCCTCCTCAAGCACCTGTTCGTGCACCCAGGAAGCGGAGGCGGCGGGCTCAACCAGGTCAACGGGACCATGTTATGCGGCTTCGGCGTATGACACGGGACACTGGAGAGCAGTTGCACGCTCTCACCGCAACTACTGTTGATCCGACCGGCCTGTTATTCACAGGCTGTTGGCCATCCACAGTGGCGGGATGCTATGGACCAAGAGTTCAACGCCTTGCTTCATAATAACACTTGGCAGCTGGTTCCGGCTACACCGGACATGAATATTGTGGGCTGCAAGTGGGTCTTTCGCACTAAGCGTAAGGTTGATGGTACGGTAGAACGCTACAAGGCCAGGTTAGTAGCCAAGGGCTTTAACCAGGTCGCTGGCGAGGATTTTTTCGAGACATTTAGTCCGGTGGTTAAACCGACCACAGTACGGTTGTTGCTCTCGTTTGCTGTATCACGCGGGTGGACGCTAAGACAGCTGGATGTCCATAACGCTTCTGGAGAGTATATTTGTATTCAGATTTCAGTTATTGAATTAATCTATCGCTTCCACTCTCATCGTCTTAAGAATCAATACTTAGGAGTTAGTTAATTATCTAATAGGTGAACCCCAAATCCCTAGTCTTCTCTCAATTGGAATTTTCTTTCCTTTAATTTCATAAATATTCTTTTTAATTATATTAATTCTAATTATTTGCGTTTTCCCTAATCAACAAATTGATTATTTAAGATAACAGTTAATAGTGTTCTTCGTGGGATCGACCTTGGAATACTCTAGGAATTTATACTGTGATTGACTTTGTGCGCTTGCAGATTATAGCAATCACCTGCATGCCTTTAACCAACATTCCAAAAGGATTCCACCTCTGGATCCATTTAAATGGGGGATAACAAATGTTGAAAAAATCGCTAGGCGCCTGGGGACCGCCTAGGCGGGCGCCTAGAGCGCCTAGGCGGGCGCCTAGAACGCCTAGGCGGTCGCCTAGAGCGCCTAGGCGCGATTTTTGCAACAGTGGGGATAACAGACAACTTGCAAAGCTTGGAGACCAGACCACACATGTGGACATGTGGACAACTGCTCTGTATCAAGCATAAACGAGATTAGTATCTGCATAAGCAAACATTGGTTATAAATTCTTATAGTAACACTAGCATCATTAAACAAAAAACTATGCAATGAAATTGTCCAGACATAGGAATTCTACAGACGCTACAAAATCTGAATCAGAACCTCTGGGGAATTAAAACAACCAATTTTGCTAAATGAAAATAAGGTTTTGAAATGCATCTTAAGGGAGAAACTCTCTATATTTGTAAATACTACCTGGCTAAAGTCGTAAAGTGCAAACACATTAACAAAGAAGATTATAGTTTAATTTTAATTATCCAAATATAAATTAATTAATATACATTATAGTTCTATTTGAATGATAGAAGTAAGCATACAGCTTCAAGAAAGAAACTACTGGTGGACATTTCATCATAAATGTAGCGTCTTTTCTTGTATGAGACATTATGAATTTATATAGCATTGAAGTAAATCTAAGAATAAATAAATGCATCATACTTCAGGAAATTCAATTTATACTGCCACAAGTCCACAAACATTCAACCAATATCCCCAAAGTTTGTAAATAAGCAGTATGTATCAAAGACTCAAATAAAGCTTAAAAGTTTAAAAGTCATAGTAAAGGCTAAAGTGAAGAGAACCTGTCCACTGGCCAAACCAACAGACAAATCTGCAATGAAATTGTCCTCTGTTTCACCACTTCAGAGACTCAAATAAAGCTTAAAAGTTCAATATTCATTCACATAGACTTCATTGGTAGCACCTATACCTTTCCCTAACAAATAGATCATAAGCGATATCTCTAGCTTTAGGAGGGTTCACCATTAGCCCTAGCCAATCTTAGTTCAACAAAAATTCAAAAGAAATTTCTTAAAATATCATATATATAGCACACAATCACATACAATAATATAGAAAATAGATTGGACAAAAATCAAATAATTAAAATTTGAAATAAATTAAAAATAAAAACAAACAAAAAATCTCATAAAAGAAAATACGAATAACTTACCGTCGACGATGCTGTGATGGTTGGCGGCGAGCGGTGAAGCAGCCAAACGGCAGGCGGCTAGGCGGCGAAGGCAGCTGCTGTTGGCCGTCGAGCGAGGAGGCGTTGGCCGTCGCAGTTGTCTGCAGAGGGAGGCGAGGGGATCAGACGCTACCGGAGGCGGCGAGGTGGAGAGCCGGACGGCGTGGCGGGCGGTGAGCGCGGCAGACGGAGGAAATCGAAGTGTGAGATCCGATCTGGCTTGTGTATTTCGAAGTGTGAGATCAGATCGAGTATACGAAGGGTTAAGTGTTGAGTGGGAATCCGAGGCTCCCGTCTAAGCGGTTGCCTAAGATTTCAATATTATTATAATAATAATATTATATTCGCGACTCCGGTCTAGGTGGGTGCCGCGGATTCCAATATTATTATTATAATAATATTATATTCGAGGCACTTGCTTAGACCGGAGACTCGGATTCTAATATTATTATTATAATAATATTATATATGTGGCACCCTTTTCCAGTTGGTGCCTCGGATTCGCATATTATTATAATAATAATAATCTTTTCGAGGCACCACTTTGTAATTGGTGCCTCGAAAAGTTCTCCTTTTTTCTATATAAGACACCTTCACCTTAAAGGTGTAGTGGAAAACACTACTTATATTTCTAATTCTGTAGTAGTGTTGGTCCCTCGTTGGACCTACAAGGAAATATATTTTCGAAGAAATATGCATTCCTTGATTCTATTATCGTGTTCTCATGTACGTCCGGATTATGGGACTCGTGTACTAAGAATCGATAAGCACTACTATTATGTGCATAGCCAATAAAGATACAGTCCACCGTCTTAAGACCTATCTTTATTTTCTTAGGTGTTGGCACCAAAACTTTGGCAAGACACCCCCACACTTTCAGGTACTAGTAGGAAGGTTTCCTACCGTTCCCAGCTCATAAGGAGTCTTATCGAGCTTCTTGCGGGGTACCTTATTCAAAAGGTAATTACTTGTCAAAATCGCCTCACCCCACACATCTTGAGGTAGGCCCGAACTTATAAGCGTCGCATTCATCATGTCTTTCAATGTACGATTCTTTCGTTCGGCAACATCGTTCGATTGAGGTGAGTACGGTGCCGTACGTTCGTGTTTATACCTACACTTGCACAGAAGTCACCAATAGGTGCTTCGTACTCACCACCTCGATCGCTTCTAACCTTCTTAATTCTCCGATTAAGTTTGTAACACCCCCTAATTTCCATGCTAATTTAAAGCCTTAAACATGCAGATATCTAAACAGAACATCAAACACAGCGGAAGACTGAAAGGGATTACATAAACTGGAAACGAAAGGGGTGCTATGCCACGCTCACCCAGAGGTGAACGCACAGGCTAACATCTGCATAGTTCAACATCTAAAACCGTACATGTTCAAAGTACTAAGTCTATACTGGCTCACAGGCCACAAAACACAAGAAAGGAGCTACACTAGCTGGCACTAAACCGCGCTCTCGTCTAAACATCACCTGAAAGAAACACATAAAAGATGGGACGACGCCCGGTCAGCAAATAATGCTAGTAACCCACCAATACATGTGAAATATCATACATAGATAAGATATACGTTTGTAAAGTCATTTGCGAAACGGAATACATATATATAATTTCAAAACCAAGAGCAAAGGTCAACACAAGACTCAAATCACTCACAACAAGATAAGGGAACACATCCCAAGACCACAAAGGACAACAACAACTCACAAGAACGGCTCAATGTATAATCTACCATCACACAATAGATTAACACCCGACAAGCACAACTCAAGAGAATAAGGACACAACCAATGGCAACACATGCCAAGGCAACACATGCCTTTGTGACAACACACGTCACAAGAAGAGAATCACACACACAACGGCTACACAAGCCTTCGTGACATCACCCATCACGAATTGATATGCCTTCCTTATGCCCGATTCCAACCTTATGTCTAGTTCCAACCATTACCTCCAGGACCCCTGTACACCAAGTCCAACCTTTTCCCTCCGAGGACCGTCGTCCCCATCCGCCAATGACCGCCAACAAAACCACCAATTTCATAGTACACGAGGGTACCGATCACACATGGCAACACATGCCCTGGATAACACATGTTATCCCAGAAATAAACATGTGAACCTTACACAAAGGCCACAAACTCCATAATCACATCATGGCCACCACGAGGACCATTGCAATACCTTGGTGACTAGTGTCCCATACCACTAATCGTGCAATCCAGGTAAAGCCACACACACCACACCTCAAAAGGAATCAATCAACGGATCACAACGAAGATATGAAACCATACTCAATCAAGGAATGTATCACAGTCCAACAACAACGATGAATAACACAAGTCATCATCAACAATAGGAAAGTGCAAACAACACACACGCTAGCATTTAAACACCGAACTAGCATGCTTATCAAATGGGTAAACCAAACGTAGTTCCGAAGAACACACAAGACTCATCACGGTTCAACGAAACACAATGTTGAACACTTAGCACGATTCAAGACACCAAAACCTACATGGAATCCTACCATATAGTTCTAGACATACGAAACATCAATAAGACGCTCAAATAGTTCCACAAAAGAACAACGGGAAGTCAAAAGACCAAATACATAGTCAAAAGAATCACGGGGAACAAATCCCCGCCAAACCACATTACATACCTCGCGGGTGGGCCCACGGGTAGACCCCTACCCGTGGTTCCGCCCGCGGGTACATACCCACGTCCAACTTGTACCCCGCGGGTGGACGCCTACCCGCTGTTCCGGCCGCGGGTACGTACCTGTACACCAAAATAATCCCTTCAGGGATTTTCAACTCCAAGCTCAAATTCAAGTCCAAAACATGCCAAATGTCACCAAATACAACAAAATGACTTGAATCAAAGGAATAGCCAAGCAATGGCACACATGAAACCTAAACACAAGCTCTAGATATGCATTTTCACAAGACAATGCATAAACACTCACATTTCATAGCAAAACACATGTAGAATCCAAGAAATCTTCATATAGGTAAGCAAAATAGATTTTGCAGAGCATGGGTTACCTCTTGTAGACAAAAACCTTCACTTAAAACTTCACCAAGCTCCTAATAAGGCTCACCTTCCAAACCCACTTCAAGGACACACCAAAAGATCATAAAGATTCTATCTTTAAGAAAAGACACCTAAGAAAACACTAAAAACACAAGATGAACATAGATCTTACCCTCCGAGATGCCCAAATGTATGAAAGGTAGAATCTTGGAGACAACTCTTGAAGATTTGACAAAGCTTCAACTTGGCTTAGAAGAAAATCTATCTACCTTTTTAGAGAGAGGGTAGAGCTAAAGTTTGGAAAGTGTAAGGAGAGAAATGAGGATTGTCTACTAGGTTAGCTTGCATTACTAACACAAGATGAAAAGTCATGAATACCCTTACTAACATAAAGAGGTGTAAGGGAACAAGGGAACTCCTTACAAAGCTTAAGGTACAACCTTGACTTTGGGGTTGACTAGTCAATTACTAGTCCCCGACTATTGAAATTTTAGGATTTTTAGGAATTAAAATGCCAATTGGTTTAGGATTAATTACTTAATTAATCCTATAGTTGAATTTGGATTACGGGGTGTCACAAAGTTGGTTTTCCACTTCGTTCTTATAAAGAACGAATTTATCAACGGCTTCATCTATGCTCTTAAGCAAATATACATAGCAGTATCGTGTGATATCGTCGATAAACGTGATAAAAATACTTATTACCACCTCTCGTTTGTATCGATCTAAAATCGCACAAATCACTATGGACTAATTCTAGTGGTTCATATTTCCTTTCAACCGATTTGAAATGTACTTTCGTTAGTTTTGCCTCAACACAAATTTCACACTTGTTATTTGTGTCAATTTAAAAGTTAGGAATATGGTCCATGCTAATTAATCTATGCATAGAGTTAAAATTAACATGACCCAGTCTACCATGCCACAAATTGGAAGACTCAAGCAAGTAAACATAATTAACTTTGCTTTTATTGATAACAGAAATTACACTGAGCTTAAAAAGCTCATCAGTTACATATCCTTTACCAACAAACATCCCTAACTTAGACAAAACTACTTTGTCTGACTCGAACACCATGCGAAAGCCATGCTTGTTCAACAGAGAGCCAGACACAAGATTCTTCCTCAGCTCAGGAACATACAGCACGTTGTTCAACGTCAGTTCCTTTCCGGAAGTCATCTTCAGAACCACCTTGCCCATGCCTTCCACAACAGACTGAGCAGAGTTTCCCATCCACACTTTTTCACCCTCAACGGTCTCAAAGGTGTTGAACATCTCTCGGTTGCAACACAGGTGCCTGGTTGCACCGGTATCGATGAACCACTCACGAGGGTTTGAGCCCACGAGGTTCATCTCGGTCACCATAGCCGAAGGCTAATCTCGACATCCTTCTGACTACTATCTCCAACAACATTGGCTTCAGAACTCTTGTTCTTCTTCCTTGGAGCTTTGCATTCAGATGCTCTGTGGCCAGGCTTGCCACAATTGTAGCATTCACCAGGAAACTTGTTCTTGGTAACGCCACCTTTCGGACCTAGCTTTCGCTTGTCCTTCTTGTTCCTCTTGGAGCTCTTAACGCGCTCCACAATGTTGGCCTTAGCGCCAACAACGATAGGAACTTTCCTATCATTCGTCCTTTTCCCCTCCTCAATCCTGAGTCGCTGGATCAGGTCCTCCAGGTTCATTTCCTTTCGCTTATGCTTAAGGTAGAGTCGCTGGATCAGGTCCTCCAGGTTCATTTCCTTTTGCTTATGCTTAAGGTAGTTATTGAAGTCCTTCCAATCTGGAGCCTGGAGGCAACAAGTGGATCACAGATCCCACTTGGAAGGCTTCACTTAGCACGGTCTTTGAATAAACCATTTTGAAGTCGAGGAATCGGCCAACCACAAATTACTTTGAGCCGGCATCCTCACTTCGGTATTTATGATCCAAAGCTTCCCACAATGCTTTTGATGTGCTAATCTTTTGATATACATCATATAACGTTCACACAATCCGTTTAGGATGTAGTTTCGGCAAAGGAAGTCCGAATCCTTCCAATAGCCAACTGTCATCACGGATTGTGCATCTTGTTCCTTCAACTCAGGAACACTCTCAAACAAGAACCTTGCAAGCCGAGAGTTTCTAGGTATAACAACATCTTTTGTTACCACTTCTTGAAGTTCGAACCAACACCGGTGAACTTCTCCGGCTTTTCAGCCGAACAACTCGGTACCGAAGGTACCCGAGTCATGGAAATATATCCCTCGGTGCTCTCACCATCCTGTGAACCAACGTTCACTAGTGTAGCTTGGGAATTAGCAACATTGTTGCTGTTTCCTCCATTGTTGTCCGCAACAACGTTATCCTCCCCATCGATTGGCAGTACGGGATGCTCCATATTCTTCAAGGAAATTCGGAGAAGACCACCAGCGGGATAAACAAGATATAAGGTTTTAAAACTGTTGGACCCGTTGGTAAAACCAAATAATAATCAAATAAAAATAAGATTATTATTTTCTGAAAAAAAAAGAGGGAAAAATTGAGAATTTGGCTAGTTCTTGGTGTTGGATTTTTGCAAGAGTCAAGTGATCACTCTTTCCTTAAAACCTTATTTGCCACCTCCCAAAAGTGCTGGGAGCGGTGTGGCCTAGGCTTCCCAGGATAAAACTTTCTTATGATTCAAAGTTTGAGCACACAAACTAGGAATCCGGCGAACAAAGCAAGGTTATGAATGTTAGCATGACTAGTATTTTATATTTATTATTTGTATAATATATAGTCATAGATTAGTGATGGTAGTTCTGTTTGACTTAGCTCTCTATTAGTTAGGATTAGTTAGAGATTAGTTCTACGATATACTTTGTAATCCTATCTTCTGTCTAATTGAATTTTTTGAGGTGAATTCTCTAATCTGGTATCAGAGCAACAGGTTATCCGATCCTCTCCAACCTCCACCACAAACCACTACCCCCTCTCACCCTCTTTTGCCGGCGATTCAACGCAAAATGTCGACGTCCTCTGAGCGTACTGCTTCTGCCGCTGGAAACTCCTCGGGCTTGGTTCAAGCGCCTTCATGACTTTCTCTTATCTGCAGGTTTTAAGTCATCTAAAACCGATGTATCCTTGTTTTATTATGCAACTGGGGAATCTCGTGTGTTTTTATTGGTGTACGTCGATGACATAATAATGATGGGCAACGACGCCAAACTGGTGGTTACACTTCTACAGCGTCTGTCCACTACGTTCAAACAATCGAGTCAGGTGACGGGTTTATTCTATCTCAGCGTCGCTATGTGACAGATCTCCTAGGGCGCTCAGGGATGACTGACTGTAAACCCCTCACTACACCGGCTGCTGTCACAAAATTAGTCACACCTACGGAGGAACTGTTCGATAATCCGACTCAGTATCGTCGCATAGTTGGAGCGCTACAATACTTGACGATCACTAGGCCGGACTTGGCATATGCAGTCAATCGACTGTGTCAATTCATGCACTCACCGACAGTAGACCATTGGGCCCTTGTGAAACGGGTTCTGCGTTACATCAAGGGAACTCTCGACTTTGGCCTCCGTCTCGCCCCATCTTCCTCGACTTGCATACACGCATTCTCCGACTCGGACTGGGCTGGTTGTCCAGTAGATAGAAAGAGCACCAGTGGTTTTGCGGTTTATCTAGGGACCAACCTTATTTCCTGGCTGTCGAAGAAGCAACGCACTGTTGCTAGGTCCTCCACTGAAGCTGAGTACAAGGCCCTAGCAGATGTCTCCGCAGAGGTCACCTGGGTTGTGTCACTTCTACGGGAACTCGGGATGCATTCAGGCCAGCCTTCGACGCTGTGGTGCGACAACCTTGGGGCTACTTACCTTTGTGCCAATCCGGTGTTCCACGCACGCACAAAGCATGTAGAAATCGACTATCATTTTGTCCGGGACAAGGTTGCTTCCGGAGAATTCGCAATCAATTATGTATCTACCACGGATCAGTTAGCAGATATCTTCACCAAACCTCTTTCAGCGTCACGGTTCGCAACTCTACGAGGCAAGCTCAATGTTGTCTCTCTACAACCTTGCGCTTGAGGGGGCGTGCTAGCATGACTAGTATTTTATATTTATTATTTGTATAATATATAGTCATAGATTAGTGGTGGTAGTTCTGTTTGACTTAGCTCTCTATTAGTTAGGATTAGTTAGAGATTAGTTCTACGATATACTTTGTAATCCTATCTTCTGTCTAATTGAATTTTTTGAGGTGAATTCTCTAATCATGAACACAGTATGGCTAAGAAAAGGAGTAGAAGCAGAATTTTGAGGCTTGAAAATGATACTTTCGTGTAGTGTGCTTGTTGTTCTCTGTGTAAAAATCTGCTTCTCACTACCCTCTCTTATATAGGGATGAAGGAGTTAAATAGCTTTTAATTTGGCATTTAAAGGCACCCCTACAACTCCTGTAACAGCAACCACTAACTTGAGTTTTAATTCAAAATTAAAATTGGGATTAATTCCAAAGAATTAACTCTGTAACAGCTGAATTAAAATCCTAACGGTCACAGAAGGAGCTGGCCACGAAAAGGCCGAACTTTCGGTTTCAGCCAATAGGTCGAGACTTCTCAGTGGCAAGTTTGGCATAACTTATGCCCGCAGGTGCGGCGCACACGTGCTCGGGCTTGAATCAAGCCTTTTCGCTCTCGTTTGGAGGAGTATCTTAAAATTTTCATGAATTTGGAAGTTTCTGGATTGAGTTATAGATAAACCTAAAGTGTTCACAGTAAGTAACATGAATCTATTGTGAGTAATGGTTGCTTGCTTCTATGCTGGACTGCAACTAGTCTAAAATCGTGAGAAAACTCATATTTTGTGGCAGAAGAGTTGGGGACAACAGGATGAGCCCGCTATCTCGGAGCCCTGTGAGATTGAGCCAGGGAAGGAGATGAAAGCCATAATAATATTAATATTAGATTGAATGGACAGAATTACCCCAACATTAACGTCAAGTTGACCGAAAAGGTAACTGAGGACCAATTTAGGATAAGTTTTTAAATGTCAAGGGACTACATTGAGAATGAGTGAGAGACTATTTTGGGAAAAAAACTCAATATATTATATAGCAGCACAAACAAGTGATATAACATTGCTATGAAGCTTGAGGCCTCGGTTATCCGAGGAAAGAGTGCTGGTGGCACCATTCTTGAAGGAAGCCTCGCAGCTATCGCCATCTTTGTCCACGGTCGAGCCTGCTGATGCGACGTCGTTCACAACATCCGCGGCTGGACGAGAGTTGAGAATCTGAGACGCGGCATCTAAAGCCGCCACGGCCGCGCTATAGTAATTGGAGCACTGAAAATAAGCCACTATCAAGTCAGGAGGATTATTTGGGTTTGTGAGAAGATCCTTGATCTTCGCACCCGTCGCCGAGGCATTTTTGCCCGCTTCTGAGACAGCGGTTTTCAGTAGGTCATCTAGTGACTGAGAAGGACTTGTGACCAGAACTTGAAGGCAGAAAGTTGTATCAATGGCTTTGGCACACAGATTCTCTATGGATTGCTGACTTGTGGTTGGTTTCACAGAGAGAAACAGAAGCCATAGCATTAGGGTTAGGATGGAAAATTTATTGGCCATTGTTTCAGTGGATTGTAATGGAAAATGTTATGTTAGTATTTATATAGCGTCAGATTCATTGAGTCAAATGCTAATATGCTATGCATGGTAAGAAATTAATGTAATCACAAACAGATTCAGCCAAATCGTTGTAAATATATGGTGATGATTATCCGAGAAAGAATATCTTTGGTTAAAAGAGGGTACACGAAAAGTGAGATGTTGTAAGAAGAAAAATATTTTATTGGATATGTTTTGTCTAATTACTATGTTTTTACTTTACTTATCTTGACTCTCTGGATTAATTAGACAAAACATATCCAATAAAACTGCTTTGGAAACGGGCAAACTACCTGATACAGTGAACGATACTTTACTAGTGCTCATCCCAAAGGTCCAGATGCGATGTCTCCAGCATTTGACATGGATTGTTGAATTTGGTCGGACATTTGTTGGAGGTTCGTCGGAGTTGGCTGAAAGGAACCCTAGTTGACTTGCAATTACATGTCACCAACAGGTTTGTGAGTTTAATTGCAACTTTTAAAAATTTAAGGACCTAATTGATTTTTAGGTAAATTTAGGAGCTTATTTGATCATTTTCCATCCTTTGTCAAGTGAATATATTCTTATTTATTATTTAATTCTATGTGTTTGAATTAATTGGTGTACTTACATAGAATTATTAGAGAATTTGTATTTGTGAAATAAGAATGCAGGGAGAAACAGTGGAGAGAAGCTTCAAGGCTTCAGGTTGCAAATAGGAAGCTGACTATCATGAACCAACCGCTATCAATGTCTGTTTGAAAAATGTTTTACAAAAAATTACTCATTTTAAAAAAAAATAAATTAATTTTCTAATGTTTGGTTGAAGGTGATAAAACTATATTTTTTTTATTTCGTTCATTTTTCTAAAAAAATTAACATATTATTTGTTATATAATAATAATAATAATAATAATAATAATAATAATAACAATAATAATAATAATAATAATAATAATAATAATAATAATAATAATAATAATAATAAGTGGTGGTAGTAATAATTTAGAAACTAGTTTGAAAAGAGATGAGAGAAAAGATCAATACAGGAAACAAATAATCTAAAAAATGTCTTTGGACTAAAAATTTAAAAAAAAAAAAAAACATTTTCGGCCAATTAGGCCTTTTTTCTATTGACCATAATAAATTTTTTCTTTTGATTTTATTTTCGTTAAATATCCAATCATGATAAAATTTTAAAAAAATGTCTAAAAATCATTTCCCAAATTTCTAAACCGACCCTAAATTAATTACAAAATTTCATATAACAATTTGTAGAACCAATTATATGTTAAACCAAGTTATGTACTAGATAAGGACAAAATCATTTATTTTTGTTTTCAAATATACTAGTATTTTCACCACGTGCGTTGCACGAAATGAATTTGTTATAATATTTTAAGAATATTGGATCGATATACAATTGTATAAATTATAATATCGAATATTATATAGTGCAATTGAAGAATTGAGTTGGATCGATTATGTTTTCTGATGTTATCATTGCATGAATTCGAGCAAATAATTGTCCATCCAATTAATAGCTAACGTGTAGATATACACATCCGGTACTGAAACATTAGAGATTTTATATATCAGTGTTTAGGATTTGTATTAATTGGGCAAATTAGCTCGTTGTCTAGCAACTCAGTTATAGAAATTATTTGTACGAAAGAAATATATTTTTGATGTTGATATATAGCAATTTTGTCATTTTTGTATAAAAAGAAAATATAATATCACTTGTTTAAATTATACATTATTGAAAACTTCTTTGTAAACGATATTGGTAATAGTAACAGAATTTTGTCCGTCATCGTCTAGAGCTAAAATAGTAAAACCTTCAAGCCATCAGGATGGACGACTCGGGAAAAAGCCACGTACACCTGAAGGGCAATCACATATCGGTATTCAAATTATTATTAATGGTGTAAATAATAATTAATAAATTATTATTTCCTTATAAAATTACATAATAACTAATAAATCATTATTTCCTTATAAAATTACATTATTACGCAGAATTTTTAAAAAAATATTACCAATTAATAGGTATTAGTTAATTTCCATATAACATTTTGTTACCAATTAAGCTTTATTAATTTTTTTACCAATAAATTAATTAATTATTATTAAGAAAAGTTTGAGCGAGAAAATTGAAGAGGACGATTTTACTTTTATTAATAATATAGATAGATTGGTGTAAAATTAGTATTCAAATTATTATTATTATTGGTGTAAATAATAATTAATAAATCATTATTTATTTATAAAATTACATAATAACTAATAAATCATTATTTCCTTATAAAATTACGTTATTATGCAAAAATTTTCAAAGAACATTTTGTTACCAATTAAATTTTATTAATTCTATAGCCAATAAATTAATTAATCATTATTAAGAAAAGTTTGAGCGAGAAAGTTGAAGAGAGGATTTTACTTTTATTAATAGTACAAATATAGATTAATTAATATTCATATTAGTTTGGACGGGAAAGTTGAAGAGGAGGATTTTACTTTAATTAATAGTATAATTTGGTGTAGAATAAGTATTCAAATTATTATTATTGGTGTAAATAATAATTAATAAATTATTATTTCCTTATAAAATTACATAATAATTAATAAATATTTCGTTATAAAATTACGTTATTACACATAATTTCCAAAGAATATTATCAATTATAGATATTAGTTAATTTCCATATAACATTTTGTTACCAATTAAGCTTTATTAATTCTTTTACCAATAAATTAATTAATTAATATTAAGAAAAATTTGAGTGGGAAAATTGAAGAGAATGATTTTACTTTTATCATTAAAGCCAAATTAGGACGAGATCGGTACCCTGTCAGATAATATTGGGAGGAGTTTGGTATGTCTAAACGCGTAATTTACTAGGGACGGCAACGGGACGGGGTGGGGGCGGAGACTATACTACCCATCCCCGTCCCCGAAACCCCGACCTCGTCCCCGCGGGTTATTAGACGGGGACGAGGATTCCCCGTCCCCGATCAATTCTTAGTCAAAATTTTAAATTAGTGTAATTTTTAATTTTAAAAACTAAAAGCTTAAATCTTAATTTAAAAATATTATATATATAATAATAATTATTCGGGGACGGGGACGGGGCGGCGCGGGGAGGGGTATCCCTGTCCCCGTTCCCGTTCTCCGAATTCTATATCCCCGTCGGGTACGGGGCATATTGTCATCCCTATAATTTACCAGTTGTTATCCTTGTATATAAAAATGGCAACAAAACCATCAAAGCAATTAGAGTGTTATATTAAGGGCATCTCCCCTTAAACCCGTTTACCCCCGGGAGATGTCTGCGTCAAGGGGACCCTTTAGCCCCTTACCTTTTCAATCTGGTAATGGAAAGACTGGCTTACGACATTCAACGAGAAGTTTCCTTAGGGCAGTGGAGACCCATTTC